ACTGGCACCATTAAAGTTACAAAAACGATTTATTTAATTTGAAAAAATCATTTTTTTTAATAAACTATTTAAGTGTACAAAATTACTGCTTTGTTTACCGAATCAAAATAGCTTTATGGATAATTTGTTCTAAAGCTAATGAATAAACTTAAAGTTGCAACACTGATTTCGGACCATTAAGCTGCCAAGAGAGGCGTGTGCTTCTAAGGAATGATGCTTATCAACAAATTGAACGCTCAAATGAACATTAATTCAATTTAGGCACAACAGTGAGCGCAACAAAACGACGCGTTTGATTTGCGTGAGATTGATCGGATGTGTCGGTTACCACATATCCATCTACTTTGTTATGGATCTAACCACTAACCAGAGTATGTATATGAATATTACTTCGATCGCCAATACTAATGCCCCCTTATTATAAAACAAAAACTAAGCTTGGACTACTTAGTCCATGTTTTGTCTCTGTTCATTGAATGACAAATGGCATTTGAGTGATATGAACAAAACACGGCGTAACTAGTCTAAGCTTTTTCCTCGTTTATTTATAAGAAATTAATAAGTTTTGGAAAAGTTTGAGAACGATACTTATAGTACCTAGATTTTTTGTTTATTTTTTACTTCTGGGGTCAATCGAAAGTTTTCAAATACCTTGCGCTCATTTTCTTTAATATTGTTGTTACCAATACAAAAGATAAAAAAAGAGTGCGGAGCATTTGAAATACTTCAGCGGTCATAAATAACAAAATGAAATCGAAAGTGATAAGAATAGCCATAGCAATACCGTTAGACGAATGGCCCCCTCGTTGAAACTAAAGCCTTCCCCCCATAGGCCCGATAATATCGGACGCGACGCGTTCATGCGATATCTGTTTTTAGTACATTATGTATTAGACCGACGACGAAGTTACACCCTAACTTGATAATAACGACACAATAGGGCGCATTACCGCGCTCCGATTAACGGATATAACGGATCCGATGATAACGACCGATAAAAACGCGCCTATGCGGTTGAGGTCTAAAGCGCTACTGTGAAAAACGTAGAGAAAACTTTATGACAGTGCTCATAGAACTCTGTACGTTTCTTTATTAAACTGTGCGTGTTGGTTTTACTATTTTTTCGACTGAAACCCGGGCCGCAAGGTTTTTCTAATTCACATCACCATCATCAGCCTAAGTCCCCACTGCTGGGGCACAGGCCTTCCCTATGGATGGAATAGGGAGATTGGACCATGACCCACGACGCGGGCCCAGTGCGGATTTGCGGGTGCAGCCGGGACAAACGGCTTAACGTGCTTTCCGAAGCACGGAGGAGCACGAGATAGTAAATTTTTAGTCACCCACCCAATGACCGACCACTGCGAAAGTTGCTTAACTTCAACAATCGCAGCCGAACGCGCTAACCACTTGCGCCATCGAGCTCCTCCTCCTTTTTCTAGTTCAATTATCTTAAAAAAAATATTAGTAGAAAGTTACTTTAGTAGTTGGCCCTTTCTTATTTTTAACTTGCGTTCATTAATTCGTTTCTATTCACAATGTAAGCTTAAACTTATTTATTAAATATTCACTGTCATTTAACGCATGATGGCCTTTTTCTATTTGACGGACTCTCCGAAAGATCATTCCAGACCAAGGAACTTATATACTAACTGGAATGCTTACGAAACAATATGGGAAATCAAAAAATGTACGCTAACTAGTTATACATAAAGTCCATTTTTGTTTCTACCTTCATAAGGGGGAAACAATACTCAGAGCGCGACAACGACGAAAGTGGAATCTGTCCCTCTCTTGTGTGGACTCCAGCAATTCAGCTATGCTTTTGGAACGATTTTGATGGTCGTGTAAGCATTCCAGTTAGTATATAAGTTCTTTGCTCCAGACATAAAATTACATCACATTTATATTACATTACCTAAACTTACCCAATACCAGCAGTAATTGGTGAAGTTGAAGTGGAATTCTATAAACCTAAGTAAGTACATCATATGATCGGAACCCTGTCATAACCCATTCATGTCAAAGGTGACATAATTATGCGTGTTCTATTGCTATCTTTTGGACCCTAGCCTAGGGCAGACACAATCAACATGACACCAGGTCACCTTACTGCTGTGCTCAGAGAGGTAACTTCACTTTTGAGTCGGTACTGATTTTAATACGTTATTGGATAAGCGCTTTTATTAAAATTAAGTACAAAAACATTTGCTATGTCGGCGTATCCATTATCGTTGTAAATTAATTTAATGTTATTTGATTGTTTGGTCTTTAATGGGTGATATGGGCTGCTGTTGCCCGAAATAAATAATTTTTATTTTTTATTGAAGTGGAAACTTCTTTAGCGGCGTTGTATACTTTTTTTGTAATGGGTTAAAAGTGTTAAACTCGCGTCAGGACACGTGTCCTATTTGAAAATTCTTAAGACGAAAACAATAAAATTGGAAAGGTTGTTGACTTTCAATATATTGGACGAAACATAGTAATATTTTATTTCTTCGTATTATAACTTTTAATTTTTTAACTAAACTTTTTATGTAATATAAATTGTCATGTTTGTGTACGATAGCGCAATCAATAAATATTGTATTTATTTATTGCGCTATCAGCTTTTAATTATCAGTTAATTAAAGCAATTCGTGCAAAATTATTCCCTAACCATTCCAAAATATCAAAAATTCACAACGTTATATTCAAGTTTTCACTTCTACCGGCACTCCCGAAGTGCAACCCGTCGTTTTTTTTTTATCGTTACCTGGCTGTAAGTACTTTTATTCCTATCCTAATTCTATATCTACCTATTGGTACTATATTATAACAGATTCCTTAAATACGGTGCACCTACGTACTTACAATGCTCTTGAACCAATTACGCGATAAAAATGTAATACGTGCCTGAAGAATGTAAAATTTTATTTCCATCTGGCCGCAACGATTTTAAACTTTTGACTGTATTTTGTTCATATTATTTTCATGCAATTATTTACAATATGTAATCATAACTAGGTTATTCTTATTCAAATTTTAACGTGTTTAATAATATACTGTCCGTGCTCGAGGCTGCTATTTGATACAGCCAGTGGCGCGGGCAGAAGTCGGAAAGAGAAAGCATAGAGGGATAGTAAAGATAAAAGTAGGTATACAAGAAAATAGGGAGGTAAAAAACAAAATAGAGAAAAGTTAATTCACATTAGTCCCGGTAAGTACTACTCGTTTGCTTCGAGTTGGCCGTCGATGACCAATCACAGGCACATCAACTGATGACTCTATTTATTATACACAAAAAGATTGACGTCCTACTATATTATAGGTATGTTAGAAACATACATTTTAAATATATGAAAGTCGAACAAATCCAGAGGTGAGAGGGTTAATCGTGAGCCGTGCCAGTAATTAAATTATTGCATGTTACATTATGGATGGTTAGGTTGAGAGTACACCGATTGCAGAAAAATACTTATAGATAAACATAATACTTTTAAGCTTTTATCGCGGGCTTTGAGCGCGGCGACCGAATCAAGAAATTCCTTAACGAAAATAAACCTAACAAAAATAAAATAAATAAATAATTATAATTGCATAAGTTGATAAAAAATGCTATGCAATGGCTTTACCGCGGCAGTCCCCGAGTGTCACACGTATTTTTTATTTATGAATTAAGCTACTTGCAAGATGTTATTGTGATTTTTTCTTAAAAAGATAATTTTATTCCAGTGATCAATGATTACAATTTTAAAATAATTTTCTATGAAACGAACGCTAACACTCCGAAGGTAAAAGCTTATCAACGGACGAGTTATTCTAAACTCTTATTTTAGGACCACGTTTATTCTTTTTCGAGTAAAGACGTTATTATCAATATAAGTAAACATACATAAACAAAAATTGTTTCTAAATATTTGAACACACCCCATTACTTTGATCAACAAGTAGTTCAAACACTTGTAGTCGAACAACCAAAGACCCAAGATCAAAAACAATTTTCATGTTTTCTCCATTGATTCGGCTGGCGATGCGAGTCTGACAACCCGAACCCCAATAAAATTCGGTATATGTGCCGACTCAACCATGAAAGGCGTAACTTTAAGATTCCGCACCGATGAGTGTCTTCAACTTAATATCCAATGTAATTCTATAAGTGCTGCCGGCTATGTTCGGTTTTCCGTTTAGATCCAAATGTAAATTTTCAAGTCTGAAATCTATCTAGACACTCTGTGGCTTAACCCAAGCCCATAATTTCAACCTCTAACGCATACGTTTACGTAAGCCACATTCGTTGCGGTGTTACCGGAGATATACCATATATGTATATAAAATTATATTTAAATGATTTTATTTATTTGTATAATTATTTAAGCAGGTATATTTAGTATTTATATTTGAATCAGTAGCATCACCATGTATATTATCACCATAGATGAATATAATTATTAGATTTATATTATTTGGCAAACAAGCGTATGGCCTGCCTGTTGGTAAGCGGCCACCATTGCCTTACCTCTAACGCATACATGCGCCTTGATATTTTTTGTATCGCAAGCGTCTATAATAGCACAGACACTTGCGATAAAATAAATATCACTTGCGCCTTTGCGTACCCTACCCAATCCCCTAGCCCGTGGAGTCCTGAAACCTTCGGTACTCACCGATAGAAACACAAGACCATCTAAAGGTTGTGTTATTTATTGTGTTGTTCTATAAGATACTTCCCCAGGCGGGCGCTCCAATTCGAGCGAAAAATCCGCTATGGCCTACCTCTCTTATGTTACAAATATTTTCAATATAACTATTATACAGATTATTGTAACTGTTACTTTCGATCAATTCTGCGATCGATCGATCGATCTGCGTAGTTATTTGCGTTATGACTAATAAAAATTAACAACAGCATTTCCCGAGAATGTCAAATGTGACGTCGTTAGTTGAAATTTGGTTGTGGAAAAGATGTTATATATGTCCTTAATAAGTTGATATTGAAATAATATAAAAGACAAACTCACAGCAAAATGTTGACAAACGCAGCATGTTGTTGGTGCTGCCTCAAGTGCTAGGCTAAATCTGTGAACAGAGAAAAAGAGGATTTAAGCATTTTGTGATGAAAATCTTTATTCAGAGCACTGACTCTTATAACTCTGATATTTCAGAGCATTGAACGACTGCAACCGTTATAATATATGACAGCTAGCTGAACCTGCGAACTTCGTACCGCCATAAAAATAGGGGCTGGTGGTAGAAGTGTCAAAATTTAAGGTTGTATGTAATTTTTAATGCCACATTATAAAAAAGAAAAACTGACTAAAACATTAAATAAAAATGTTAGTGGTTGACAACCCTTATCCATTAGGGGTATGAAAAGAAGATAGCAGCCGATTCTTAGACCTACAGAACATGCATATAAAATTTCAAAAAAAAGGTCAAGCCGTTTTGGAGGAGTATGGTAACTAACATTGTGATACGAGAATTTTATATATGTATAAGCTAAGATAAGATATGAAGAGCGAAAGAGGTGATTAAGGAGTCTGTACTTCATAATCTGAAAACAAACATAACTCTAATATAATATATATAAACTAACAGATTGTAATTTTTATTTTTAAGCTTGTATTTGCTTGATGTTTAAATATAAAGAAAATATTACAATATCATTTAAAGATGTTCTTCTTATTTAGAAAACAAAAATGCCTTTATGATTTTAAAAATAAATGAAGCATACATACTTTCTTTGCGATAATATCAGTAACTATATATGGTAGGCAATTTGTTATTATAATTCATAGAAAAACATAATAGTACATGACATGCAGTTATCTTTATTCAAGTATCCTTGTAGATTATTCTACTCAAAGCCCTTAGGCTTTAGTACTTTGCAGCTAATGTTGTCATTTACACAAGTATAGTGTCAACAATTACTGAATAGACCGTAACATGTGACATGACATGAATCATAACAAATGTGTGGAATGACCGAATGACTAATTGCGCTGCAGAGTTGTTAGGTAAATTGCTTGCAAATAATAACATTCAGTTAAATATAAATTATATACATAGATTCACACCATTATGTCTCTTATTGTGGAATTAGCAGAGCATTAAATGTAATCATGAGACAAATAAATATTGTATTCATATTCTACTAACATTGTCGCCATTGCGAGGGCACTGAATCAAATATGTAGATAGGACTATCCCAAATCCATAACAACCAGTGTGAATTGGTAAGTGTAAATTTAGAATCGTCAAATCATCAGCCTATTAACGTCCCCATTGCTGTGGCATGGGCCTTCCCTGGATGGAATAGGGCAATTGGGCCATGACCTACCACGAGGGCCTAGTGGGGATTAGCAGGTGCTGGGCTGCAGATGCAGCCGCAGCCAACGGCTTAACATGCCTTTCGAAGCACGGAGGAGCTCAAAATGATAAAATTTTGGCCACCCATCCATTGCAAAAGTTACAAATATATTGTCCACTAAACTAAAGAAAATGGTTGAAAATAAATTTTAAATTTTACTAGAAAACATCGGAATTTATAACCTGGAAACTGTGGGAAAAGCCACTCAAGCTCAAGGAATTCTTTACTCGTAGGAAAGTAAAGTTTGTGAGATTGTACAAGTTGCAGGGACTGACGCAAAATGGCGTATTATGCGAGAAATCGTATTAAGCGTAATCGTATTAAACGGGTTCTACTGTATATATATATATTTACCTACGACCTTTACCTTTAAAATGCTGCTGTTTCTTTTATTTTTTTTTTAATTTATTACTTAATCAAGCATAAATCTAAAATAACGTATGACATCAAAAAACCTGAAATATAGGTACAACTATAATGTAACCTACTTAAGGGGAAAATTGAATATTGCACATAAATGTACTTATTAAGTACAGATTTCTTTTATTTGAATATAATGTGATCTATATTTCTTGAATATATTATTATTATTAATTATTCATATAAATTCCTTGAAAAAGCTAGCTTCCTATATTAAAACAAATGAGCATTGACAACATCTTTTCACACAGTCGAAGCTGCGTCGAACTTTCAAACGAGAGTACGGATACCCGCGCAGCCTTAACAAGTATCACATTGTGTTGGAAACATAGGTACCTATGTAACGACGATTGACGGAGAAGCCTGAGGGCATACAAGGCGTTCGTAAATACTGGTGCGTTCTGGAAATGTCACCCCGAATGGCCTGCAGGCGTGACTGGACCTCACGTGCGATCAGGTCCGCAATAGATGAGATGGGAAAGTACAATGACAAATAAATAATCAATAGTCTAATACACAGACAAGGGACATACACCCATAGAGCCTTTCTCAAATAGGTTTTTTTTACTTCATAGTTCACTCCACTTTTTTCCAAGGAACATACCAGCAGACGTCTCATCTGATTATAAGTATAGTGTAAGTGATAAGTATTACCACAAATGGGATGCCGATGCCTTTCCGCCATTTTAAAAAATGCGGAAGGTAATGCCTTAACTACTGCACACTTGTTATAAATAAGCTATTTTTATTTAAGGTTCCCTTGATAGACGTGTTCAGGGATAAAACTACCAACATATATACTTTACATTGGTAGTGTACTTTTGGATAATCAACTCTTGCGCTGAACCACAGCTGGAACTCGATAATTATCCCATTTTAGAGAAACCTTTTAGTTTAAAATTTGAAACTTTACCGCGCTAGGCTTAACTACATTTTCAGTCATCACCACATGAGTAATGAAACGTTACATCACTTCCAAAACAATACTGTAGAATAGAAAGCTCATTAAAGATCAAAATAGGTTTCCATTTGGTTAAATCATTAATTATATTATTTAAGTAAATGTTTCCATTTTGTCTAGATGTGAGGACCTGTAATTGGCTCTTTGTCGCTACTATTCATTTCTAGTATATTAAGATAAGCTGTTGGTCTTCCATGTAACCAAAATAAATAAATTCTTGAACATCATATTATGATTATTAGTATCTTTATATTTTGCACGAATGCGTTACTTCGATAGTAGAACATAAATATACATTTTTCTTTGTGAAAATCAATGATAAGATATTTTTATACACAATATACATAATGATTAATGACCGAAAATGGTAACAACATAACCGCTTCATTTATCAATCACTTGTATACCCATAATTAAATTATAATTTAATTACTTTACGTGCCAAACAAAATTTCTTGTCTGTCTATGGAAGTGAACAATTAGAGATCGTCTTTTGCTTAACTAAAACAATTTGGCAATTTGGCTAGTTAGCCAAATACTATTAAATATAAATAATATTTTAGTTATATAATGTTTGTATAAGGTCAAATGTCTAATATTCACCTGAAAAAGGTGCAGTGCTTAATAGAGGTTGTTCGTTTTGCGCTTGTGCACAAAGTATAGTGCACTCCTCAATGGCTATTGATCGGATGGGTGACCAAAAAAAACTTAGTGTGAATACGATAAAGCTGTTACATTTGAATACGTACAGCGATTGTATTCTCAGCAATTAGGAATTACTCTGTCAATTCTAGTATATAAGATTGATTGTATTTTGCTATTCATGGGTATATTCCAATTTGAGTACCGAATATGAAAAAAAAATTGTTAGCGAAGAAAAAAACGCCGGTAAACGTAACGTTTTGTTTTTAGTATAAAAAAAAACTGTGTAAGCAATTACAATATCTGAGATATGGCATTTTGACAAAGGGACGGACAACCTTTTTATTTTTTCTTGTATTGTCAACGTTTTGGAATGGAACCTACTAGTTAAAACTACTTCATGCCTAGGTTCAGAAAGGACTGCATATTGGTCTAGACTAGACTACTGTTGTGGTTTTTGACAACTAACTTCACTTTGGATTTACAATTGCATAGGAGCAAAAAATAATGCAAACAAACTACTTGTAATACCACAAAAATCTTATTAAATTAATTTTTTTGTTTTTGCTTCAAAAATATTTAGATGTTTGAAACATCTGCAAAGATCTGTTTTTTATCATGTGGGGCTAGGTGTCCGAGTATTGCAATTTTATGTAGCAATACTAGAAGTGCCCTATTCGGTTTCACCCGCATTAATTCAAGTAAAATATTTTATATAGGGTCACATTTGAAAGACAGATAATACCTATATGCTATCACAGACTTTTTTGTAGAACTTTCAAAGGAGAACAATCACACTAATATTATAAAGGCGAAAGTTTGTGAGTGTGTATGTTTGTTAATTCTTCACGTCTAAACGTCTGGGGCGATTTTAATAAAATTTGATATGGAGTTAGTTAACACCCTGGATTAACACATATGCTACGTTTTATTGTGGGAAAATATCCCTAATAAACCGCGGGTAACACCGCGGGGCACAGGTAGTTTCATTATAAGTTTGTGTTCACTAGCGCAAGTTAAGCTAGCTCTCAATTGGTATATTTTTTTTTCGTTTATGCAACAAGTTTTATTGGTGCTTAGCTCCTATTCGTCGTATCCTTATGTTATATAGCTTATGTAGTCGGGTCTAACTTGAAATGCTAATCTTTTAATTAAATAATATTATTATGTTTAGAAGCGGATGGCGTTAACTTCATTTCGCAGAAAAATATTTGGCATTCACTCATTAAGCAGACATACAAACGAATGTCTGCTTAATGAGTGAATGCCAATTGGCTAATGGCAATTTTGTAAGCCATAAACATGTTTAGGCATAAATTTAATATGCACAATAATTAAAAAGCAGAAGCATCATATTGCAGAAAGTTTACAGTCAGAAACGTCTTTTAGCATACAAAAATTTAACTCTTCTTTGTTTGTTAATCTATTACTAATGGCCCGCCCTCATAGAGAGCTGTAGTGTAGACTATAGTTTTTGTTCTCAGGCTTGTATTATAAACAATGACTTTATATAAATAATTACTTTAGGCACGCGCCGCCGGCCGTCCGCGGCTAAAAATGTGTTTATTTACGACCTTACATTAAAAACCTCGAAAACTATCAGTATTTCTCTACTATATAATGCATGTATTATTGAAACCTTCCTCTTGAATCACTCTATCTATTAAAAATAAACCGCATCATAATCCGTTACGTAATTTTAAAGATCTAAGCATACATAGGGACAGACAGACAGCGGGAAGCGACTTTGCTTTACACTATGTAGTGATGATGATCTATGGTGACTGGCGGCGCTTCGCTGTCCGCTACCGCGGCACGCTCTCTTGGCTCGCGTTAAGATTGGGTCACATCACAACACTAAATTGACCTAGCCCAGTGACCACAAATACCGATTATGCATAGCAAAATTATGCAGAAAATATCTGCCATCTTTAAAAAATATGCGCTATTATGAATTCGAACATACGGCTAATTAATAATCATACTTATTAAAATATATGCCTTAATAATATTCGTTTAAAGAAGATTATACCAAGTATGTTATGTCAAATGAATTTCGGACCAACAAGATTATGCCAGATAGAGGAAAGCCTATGTAGCTTTATGTTATATAACCTTACTCGATAATGCACTACCCAACACAAAAATAACTTTTTAAATCGGACCAGTAGTTCCTCAGATAAGTTTGTTCAACCAAACAAACTAACTCTCCAGCTTTATAATATTTTAAAGAATATTTTATTTCTTCTTTAATATAAAAATAATTTGAACTAGGAACTTTTGTAACCGTCGGCGTTTCGCGCTAACAAGGAAATAATATATTCAGCCGAGCACCTCCACGATAGCTAGATCAATCTCACCACATTGTGTCCCGTGAATGTCTTGCGAGAAATGCACGCGTGGCTGTAAGTAATACCCATTGTTTCGCCCGAAACTATCTGTTGCATAAATTGTTTAAAAGCTTAGCGATCGCTTGGTGTAATCTTTATCTATACCGTTTATTTGTGTCTAAAAAACACTGATAATATAATAGAAGAAGGAATCAAACTTGGAATCCAAATAGGTTCAATCAATTTAAATTATTATCTTATCTTAAAGGCTAATAGATGATTTATGGTGACGGGGTAAATTAAACGAAATAACATTCAGTCCGTCAGGTTTTTTTTTCAATCAACCAAAAACATATTTTTGATGACCAAGAAGAAGCGCGTCAAAGTTTGGGAGGCTCGTTGCGTCACTTCTAAGTGAAAATTTTACCAAGACGTGACGTCATGCGACTTTTTAAATCTATAGATCTCTGAAATGTTTTCATTGTGTGCATATAGAAAAATACGTGTCCAATACTATTTCATTATCTACCTCATAAACAAGAACAAAAGTTAGTCAATGATCCCTAATCCACTCAAATAATTTTAATGCGGTTTTCATTGCCGGTTACATATTTTTTCCAGGAGAGATTGTAGGTAAATTAAGACCGTGAATAAACTATAACCTACGCCAAAATAGTCACCAGTCTTATATAAATATCACTACCGAATGTTCACACATCAACGACGATATGATAAGCCCATACCTGCGAACTGGGAGCTTCAATCACAATGCTCTGCTCATAATCTTTTTCCCTAATCCTAAAAGTTGATTTTATGCTTCGTCAAAGACCCACTTATTTTTTTTTATATTAAAATTAATCAATATCAGTTCAGCGGCTTAGGCATGAACAAACAGTAGAGAATATAACTGGAAAAAGTAAGTTATTTTTTTAGATGCTGGCACTTTACTTGAATATTCGTGTTTGCTATTTGTAACTTTCATCAGTACCTCCTTTTCACTCCTTATACAGCGTGATGAGGAAAAAAAGTTGTCCAATAGCATATACGAATAGTCAAGTGCCAGCACTTCACTAGATTAGAAATAGACATTTTGTCGTCGTCTTAAATATTGAAAATGTTCTATAAAGTTTATTATACTCGGAAAATAGCGAACAATGAGTAAATTACCGGACATTGCGAATATTCCCAGAGCTTTTCGACTTCGTCTGAGATATTATGAAACTATGAAGTTTTATTCTAAGCCCTGCACCCAAAGACACAGAGGTTTCAACTTATTAGGTATAGATTCACTTTACCATATATATTTTTTTATGTCACAAGGGTGGCAAACAAGCTTATGGCCCGCGTGGTGGTAAGCGGCTATCATACCCTATAGACGCTTGCGATACCAAAAATAAATAAATAAATATTTCCAACACTCACCCACCGGGATTCGAACCCGGGACCTCTCGAGTTGGCGATACCTTGACACCCGGCGTATAAACCACTCGGCCGCGGAGGTCGTCAATTTATTTGTTAATTGAATTATCTCTACTAGAAAAATATCTCTCGCACCGTTGTCTACCCTGACCCAATCCCCTACCCCGTGGAGCCCTGGAATCCTACTCACCGACAGTAACACGACACCACCAACAAGGTAGTGTTTTTTTACTGTGGTTCTGTAAGGTTACTTCCCAGGACGGGCGCTCCGATTCGAGCGGGAAATCTGCTATGCCCTACCTCTCTTAAACACTTAGATTAAAACAAAAAGGGAAGATACAGTAAGCTCATACTAGTATCAAATAAAATATGATCCGACTCAACTCGAAAGCAACTTAACTTACACACTCGCACACGTCTGTAACTAACATTTATTCGAGCGAGCGAGACAGAACTGTACGCTTCAACGCAGAGCGAGCTAAACGGCAAATACGTAAATAACATTCACGACAAACTGTGATTTTTGAAAAAGAATGATTTTACAGTTTTACGAATGAGAAGTGTTGCCGAGGCATTTATTAAGTGATTTTGAACTGTTTGTGTCCTTTATAAAAGCATCGAAGGCATTGTTTTATCTGTATAACACAGAATATATACAATATTGTTATATTGAGTGCACATGCAGCGTGTTTGAATGTCCAATTGTGACTTAAGCGAATTGTGGTCATGCACCACAATTTAAGCGGATTAGTTTTGAGCCGCGACTGCCGTATCTTCCCTTATTGTTTTAATCTAAGCTTAAACATCGAATATTTTGTTAGGAACACTTTTGTTTTGCATATGTCGTGAGCGACAACAGAATCGAAGTGGAAAATCACAAGTGACAAAGATAACATTGACTATATTGTCAGATTTCTTACTAAGCATTGTCAGTCGCCCCGTAAAAAACAGAAGCTAATATGAGAAAATGTTTATAATCTAAGTTATTGTGATCGTGGATTAGAGTATCGGAAACTGTACGGGTTTTTGTAATTCCGACAAAGCGATGAATGTTGCCATGATAAATCGATTTATTAAAAGACTTTGTGTTCTCCTTTATGCTGACCTTATATAAAAAATTACATTTCATAATAAAAATTAAAAAACTACTTCTTAATGGGCATGATTCTGTTTACAGAAGCAAACCGTTTTTTTTTTAATAAATTTAACATTTGTGTTCGTATTCAAATTCTAAGAAAATTGTGTTCATTTATTTATTTAGACATTCAAAATGCATATGAAACTTTAAGCAGATATTTTGTAAATTAGAGCTAAGTCTTTCTTTTAATAATCAGAGTGGTTATTTCTTTATTTACAATGCTAAATAATATAATAAGACAACTATAAGGTAACTAACTATAAGCGGTAAAAAAAATCGAAGAGAAATTAATGTTTTGATAGGTAAAAACTTATAATTACAAGTTTCTATGAGCAAAATAATTTGAAAAGGTTAATAATAATTGTTTAGGCAAAGTATTTTGTTGGTGATAAAAACTGCTTTAATCATGTGCCTCGATTTCTTGAACTATGGCAAATACCTACTTAGGCGGGCGGAATGAATTCGAACGCGTTGAAATCTTTTACAAAGACATTGGAGGATTGTGGAAATTGTATCCCAAATTTTTACTGTGTAAATGGTGCTTATTTTTGGTTTAAAAAACTTGTACAATATTTTTTACTTTACAAATCAACAGTAATAATATTTAATTATATTGAACTATTATATAAAGTTAAGTTTCATTAACATCTAATTTGAATGCTTAAATTCATACTACGCTGTTACGGTACTAATAAGAAAAGCAAAACATTAATAAAATGCAAATTTGCATAAAAACGTTCGCCATTCGAAGTTTAGGAATTAATCCCGAAAACCACACCATCATTCACTGTCCGGTGAACACCTTTTATCCGAAATGACGTCATCACTCCTAATTCGTTATTCCACTTTCAAACTAAAAGAGGCCAATGATGTGATACGATACTATTTAGTTTTTACTTTTTAATTCAGATTTGAAAGCTTTGTCTTCCTCTTTCGAACCTTTAAAATTTGAATTCGAAACTCACCGTGTGCGTACGGAGCGCTAGCGCGTTGCGCGGACTGTGGCGAGGCGCGGGCGCGCGTTGCTTATATGACCGTTGTCATGGCAACCACCACTACGTGAAGGGATGAGTGCGAAACAAAAGCACATCTACTTATTTACATGTGGTTTGGTTTCGATTCGAAGCTTGCGGCTTCAGCGCAAAAGCTTTAAGGTTCTAAAGCTGCTTACAAAATTGAAAAGTTTAAAATGACGTGTTTGGAAACGTAATAATACGATAATCATCTTTGGACATCTAATAGAAATACGCAATATATTCTTCAAAAACTAGATGCTGATATTTTAACATACTTACTAAGGAAAAGAAGAAACATATTTTTTTTAATGAAGTGAGCCTATGAAAATTTGTTCATTAAATATGTTCGGCGCAGAATTCTTTCATGTTAATGTTGGGTTTTTTAATTTATTTACTAAACGGCTGGTTCGTATAGACGGCTGGACAGGCACAGTTCTTTGCTGCATCAGCCTATCTTCGCGACTAGATTCTACTATATTTTAACATCAATTTTCAGTCATTGTCTATTTAATAGACACGGTCTATTTAATAATTACAATATTTGATCAACTAACGTTTGTTTTCTCATTGCGATGCGACAACATTAATTATAATTATGACTAAATATAACAAACAATCATTTATAAAATATAATTACAAGTCTAAGTTTAGCTAACTTTCTGCGTCAATTATAGACAACACCAGAATAAGCACAATAATATCGCATTATTAGTCGATCCCTCCCATTTAACTTCAATTTAATATCCGTATGAAAAGCGACTTAAGTACACTCTTAATATAATGGTAATACAGAGAATGTAACATAATTAATTCAAAACAAACTTTAAAAAAAAAGTTAGGTTTTTGGAACGAAGTTCCTTTTCGGAGAGCACGGACTCGGCCAATGGCTAGGCAAAAAATAAAAGATTTTTCCTTTACAACCATCTGTTGTTTCGTAGCGTATTGTGTGTATTTGCGTTCTTATAATTATGTTTATTGGAGTTATACTTCTTTAGGCGCGTTATGAAAAAATGATGAGAGTGAAATTTTAAGATGCGCGCGCATCACTGTAACACAAAATTTTAACAGCATGAAGTCAACTTCATGCGTTACTTTTGTGTTTACCGCACATTAAGAAAATCTACCAACAAAATAGAAATAGAATCTCTATTTAGTGGGTGCTAACGACTGCATTGTGAAGGCCTATCAAAAGTATTTATTAATCTGGAACAACGGAACCAAAGCGCGATTCAGGAGACTACAGCGCCATCTCTTGACCATTGGTGTAGTAGAACCAAAAACCACATCTTTATTTTTTGTAATAAAGTAACAGTTATAGGTATTCATATTTATAATATCAAAAGTATTTATTAATCTGGAACAACGGAACCAAAGCGCGATTCAGGAGACTACAGCGCCATCTCTTGACCATTGGTGTAGTAGAACCAAAAACCACATCTTTATTTTTTGTAATAAAGTAACAGTTATAGGTATTCATATTTATAATATTTATCCACATGTTTCTAGTTTGTATATTCGGAATACGTGTTTGAGTTTCATACAAGTGCAAATCACATATATTCTAATAAATTATATTCAGTAGCGATTTTAATTGAATATTTTGATTATTTATTTATTTTTTCAAATTTAAACTGAACTTTATTGACCTTTTCCAGACTTTTTATTAATTTATTGTAATTAATTATTTGCATGCAATTAAAAACTAATTTTAAACGATGCCAAAGAAGGATAACTTCTCACGCGCCTACATAAGTACACGCACCCATTTTTTTTAACTTCGTTTCAACCGAGTGTTCCACGACACTCACTTTTTTTATATTTTAATTATAAGTGTTTTGCGAATTATGTGTCAATTGATATTTTGCTAGATGTAGCACCCCTGACTGTCTAGATTTATAGATTATCTAGTCAAATTGACGAAATATTGCATGGAATCTTTTTATTTTTTGTAATTATATTTTATTTACAAAAATTTGCCTGATTCCTCCCTTGTACCATGTTCTCTTTATCTCTATACCAAAATACCCTAAAATCATTTTACAATAGACAAACAGACAGAGTTAAATATCATTACGCATGGAACGATATATTTAGAGATAAGTACTTAATTTCTCAACACTATTTCTTCGAAGATCGAGAACATTAAAGGATAATTACCAAAATTACTATTCCAAATGACAGATGCAAAGTCGCTTTTCCACTGTCGCAATGTGAGCCTGAGACTAAAGCTCGGTTATTAAAGACGATTCGCTTTCTATGATTGTTGATCATCGATCGATATGAAATCCATAACTGATAATTTCGTGTCGATCGCAATCGAACGGAATTCGTGGACGAAATTCGCAGACTGGGCTCACGTCACGCTCAATAATGGACATTTTAGGATTTACTTATTATATAATAAACTAGTGACACGCCCTTGATTCGTTTAGTATAGACTAGGCATAGTTTTGTTTTCGGAAGTAGTGGTCGCCTTTAGTTCGAAGTTAGACGTTTTAAGTTCTTTTGTCAAGTTAAGAGAATTCTATAACCATTGTCTGTTTTTCCAATAGTAGGTACGAGTATATTATTTATATTTTTTTCATATTTCACTACTGTTTAATAATAAGGTTCTACTATCGAAATAGATCGCCTACAACTCGCACATCGAGTAACGCTTCCATTGGAAGTGTTACTCGATTGAAAGTATCGCGTACAAAAAGTCGCTCGATGGCGCAAATGGTTAGCGCGTTCGGCTGCGATCGTTGAAGTTAAGCAACTTTCGCAGTGGTCGGTTATTGGATGGGTAACCAAAAATATTCTCCTCTCCGGAAATAGTCTCTAGCTCCTTCATGCTTCGGAAGGCACGTTGGTCCCAGCTCCATCTGCAGTCGTTAGCACCCACCAATCCGCACTGGATCCGCGTGGTGGGTTATGGCCCAATCTCTCTATTCCATCCATAGGGAAGGCCTGTGCCCCAGCAGTGGGGACATTAATATGTTTTTTTATGCATGTAAACCGATTTCTCCGTCAATTGTGTTATTGTTTACTTGGGCGAAAAAAATGAAGGAAATAAAAAAAAATTAAGAAAAAATAAAACCGACTTCAAAATCGAAAATGGAACCATAGAGTAAAAAATAATATCTGGTTCATAATTTGGAAGTCGGGCGGGTCAAATCATCAACCAGATTTTATTTTTTTACTTTTTAGTTCCATTTTCGATTTTAAATTCGATTTTTTTTGTTTATTTTTTTTAAACAAAGTTTGTATTAGATTAATTAAGTTCCAACAAACCAAGTTATTAACGAAAGTTATATAAGAACCCCTCAGTCTCATACATCAGTATATAAATAGATCGATACGAGATATGATAAAATCAACAGCTCGAATAATATATCACCGTATTAAAATTAAACGAACTCTGATTCGAGTTTGCGAAGAAGCACACGTTTTCACGGAAGCTCCTAATGAGGTTGCCCAAGATGGTCCTCGAAGCGACGGACGACCCCGTCAGTTCATATTCCGTGACCCATATCGTGATGCTCTTATCGTTTCTAAGGTAAAACGTCAGTAATGGTTCTATTATTTGAAAATTAAAATTTAAAACACGTGATGTGAATGTAGCGTGCCAACTGAACGAATGGATCCTGTTTTATACGTCGACAGTAATTGTCGACATGATTATATTAATTGCCTACGGATACGGATGAAAAAAAATGAGCAGATTTTTACATAGAAAAGGTTCATGGACTCTTTTGTGTTCGGAGCGTGTTTATTTTTTTTTTTTATATAACCAGGTAGCCATATGACCCCATTATGGGTTCCTTTAAAGCTAATCAACCTTTAACTTGCAAGATGAGTTCTGCTCTGACCCGCTTTTTGTCCCTAGTACATCTCTTGCTAAGGTGGGTTAGGTTGGGTAAGGCTGATATTGTTTTAAACTTTCCTGGTCACTAAAATTAAAACTATTATCGGGATTGTTACCATGTAACAGTGCCGAATTATCGGAATATAACTGAGTTACTCCATGATCATGGCGCTTGCAACAGTGCCGAAATCTCGGAGACTCATAAAAAACAAGGTACATGGTAACAATCCCGTTAATAGTTATAATATAAGGTAAGGCTTAGTTAGGAGATACATATAAAATATGCCTTCCGCAAGTGTCCCAGTCGAAGGGACGTCAATAAGCTGATAACGATTCATTATTACTAATGGTCACCTAGTGGTCTAAATTCGACTGTAATGTATTAAATTAGAATTGTTAAGTGTGAATGTTAATTGATGTTTTTCTGCCAAAGCGAGATCGATTTCTACGATAATATGATTATTACATATAAAACTTATTACGTCAGCTGCGAGCGTGTCATTATGCGATGAATATTTTATTTTCTTCAGTTTAATATAATCTTAACAAATTATTATTAAAAAATATATATAAAAAATGGTTGCCTGTAAAGTCGGTTTTACGGGCGAAGATTTTACGTGACAACGTCTTTTTCTCGGTAGAATATTTATTGATATGAATATAATTAAATTGCACAATAGGAACAAGGAATTGAATGAAAATAAGAATTGCACAAATTTTAACTATAGAAATATATTTTGTTTACTAAAACATTGTACATGTAAACTTAAACTCATCGTAACGTTACCGAGCGTTACACTTTTTCATAAGTGACTCCCAGCCGCAACCTAATTTAAGACGTTGTCACGTCAAAATATTTAAATATTTCCTATTCCATCCATATGGAAGGCCTATTCCCCTGCAGTGAAGACATTAATAGACTGATGTTGATAATGATACATAAAAATATACTCCAGGTCTTTTTAAACTATAAGTAATTGTTTATCCAAAATAATAAACTCCTACGTGGTGAAATGCAAATTAAAGAAGTACAAAGTTTTTTTGTTCACTGGTCTATATTAACATAAAGTTAATTGGGCCCCGTTGCCAGCGCTGATTACGTCCCTGTTGAAACATGTCCTAAGCATTACTTCGTGAAGCAAGCTTATTGCTCTCATACCC